TCAGCGTGTCAACTTAAAGTGGGAAGAAAATTCAAAGTGATGCAGATCTTCAACATTTGGCACTTCGGTGAACCCCACGCTCACGAATATGGCGCTGACAAACCTAGACACGTAATCGGGTCGAGGCGGGATTCGAACTCACGATCTTCGGTTTCTGGCGTGCCCAAGGGGAGCAACTCGGTACGGCGAATTGCCACACCTGAGGCAACTGGGTCACACGTTTCCTGCACGTGAAATACAACTGTTGTATCTATCATGTATTGCTCTTTACAATTCCCCCTGCAATCTTCAATCAGACAGGAAGTAGTTCGGCATAAAGCTATATTTGTATCTCATTATTTCGCTCGAGTGAGATATAGATTTCATATTTTCATACAAATGCAGATAAGTATTTCACCACCAAATAATGATAAAAAAGTAAATAATATCCGTGTTTATGCAGTTATGTGTTGGGTATCTTGTTTTAATGTGATGGTTGAAGGTGAAGGTTGTAATGTAGACACTGATTGCGATAGTGGAGACGTGGATTTAGAATGAAAAAAAACACAGAGTTTGTTAGCACTGAAAAACACATCGTTATTATGTGATAGTGGTTCGTGAACACATATATAGACTCTCCGTATTTTTTGCGTTTCACATCTCCCGACCTGAATTTCATTCCGACGTGAATAAAGTTTTCTTGTCGCTGTGGAAATGTATGCCTTGTGTCATGAAAGATAACCTCTTACCTTTTCACACTCATAAAAAAAACAGGTCAGTTTGATCTTTCTTCATCAAAATTTATGAAAATATTGTCTCCGAACCAAAGTGACCTGATCTAACTTCTTGGAGTGGCATTTTAGAAGTTGGGAAGTACAATATAGAAACACTTTATGCTTGACAACGGTACAAGAATCTGTAACGAAACGTCGCACTTACGAAATAAAAGAAATTGTTATCCACGAAGTTTATCGATCTGATCTTAATTAATTGATATTTCAAAGTGATCTAAATGTTAAAGTTTCTTGAAACAAGTTACACAATTACTGAAAAAAACTGTTTTTCTTTTTTTTTAATTTCTTTTTTCCGCCCTACCGCTCTCTTGCTGGTTGAGGTTGGAAAAAATAGGGTGGGGTGGCAGCAATTTTGTACATAAAATATGAAAATATTATACCATAAAAATTAAGGGAGAGAAGGGGGCGTCATTGATTTTGTACATGACTGGCGGAGGGGGAGGTCAATTACTATGTACACAAATTTTTAGGGTGGGTCATTCACATTGTACACGTTTCTCCATAAAACTCATCATCGCCCCACCTAGCCATAAATTATGAACGGTCCCTAAGAATGATCTTTGAAATAGTCGAAACTGTACAATGGATATCTCGTGACTGTGGAAAGGGTTTGGGCGTATAAGGTTAATTTACATTACACTTAATAACTTCGTATTTTGAGTGGTTATTGATTAAAATCAAAATAGAAATTGATCAAAGATAATAGAAAATAAATTATAAACAAAACCGTAATCCAACGAAGATAACGCTGTTGCCTCAAAACTGTTTTGGACGTATTGTATCTGCAAACACTACCAGATTAGATACATCTTGCACGATCACCACGTGGCCAACCTGAAGACCATATCACGTGATTACGTCAGTTCATGGTATCATGTCCAACATACAGCACATCTGTCAGTTTGCACGTGCATCATGCCAGTCTCCACGAACACATATGAAGAGTTCCACGTTCTTATTAACTTCTACTGCATTTACTGTGCATTTAAATCGCAAAATATGTAGGAATTATGTTCACGTGGTAAGAGCTCTAAATATAATAATGCACCCGTTAGACTCACTTGGCCTTCCAAAATACACTTCCGACCTCTCTAGCAGAAGAGCTAATTTTGAATGAAAACAATCTTCAAGAAACTTCCAGTATGGATTCATGAAAATGTTGTCCGAGATGACCGTTGTGGTGGAGGCAGCACAGTAGATTAGTGGTCAAAGGGAGATAACTCATGATCAGGGAATGGTTACTTCATGACAATCACAATGTGAGGTGAGGTGAAATTGGGTTTAACGTCGTGCTTGAGAATATTTCGCTCATATGACGACGTGCATGCGTGTGTATGTGCGGCTGCTTGTACTAGCCCAGACTGAAGCTGGTTTTATAGTGCTAGCCCACTGAGATACCATGCCGCAGTGAAGCACGAATACCCCACTCAGATACAGTATACTGACTCCGAGCCGACCAGTCCTTGTACCCATTAATGCCGAGCGCCAGGCAGGGACCAACAAGTACCATATTTTAACGTCTTTTGGTATGACGCGGTCGGAGATCGAACCCGCGACCTTCCGCTCTCCGGGCGGACGCTCTAACCACTACAAATCACAATGTGAGCGATAAGGTATTGTCTATGGGTGAATGAGTCTTATGTCAGTATCCTCAACATGCATTTGTGTTTTACACGATAGATCCAAAGATATCTAAAAATGCTTTTGGTAAATTCAATTCTTTGGTACATTGTTATCCAATATCGTGTGTTGAGTGAGTGAGTATGATTTTATGCCGCTTTGAGAAATATAACAGAAATATCACGGCGTGGGGACACCAGAAATGGGCTTACAACAGTGTACCCATGAGGGGACTCGAACACGACGAGCGAAACAGCGAACGCTGTAACCACAAGGCTACCCCACCTTCCATGTCATGTGGTGATGACAGATGTTCCAAAAGTGCTGACAGGGATCGAACCCGACCTACGGACGTCTTACATCTCTCTCTCTGGTTATCCATTGGGAGTGATCGAGTGAGTATGGTTTTACGCCGCCTTTAGCCATACTCCAGCAATATCACACCAGTATTGGGCTTCACACATTGTACCCATGTGGGTTATCGAACCCGGATCTTCGGCGTGACGAGCGAACACTTTAACCACCATGCTAACACACGCACGCACGCACGCACACACACACACACACACACACACACACACACACACACACACATACACACACACACTGCCCCCTATCCACTTGAAACACATAAGACCAGGTGAAGGTTGTACAACTGTCTGTTTCTGTTCTAACCGATGGTCAAACGTACAGCCTTGTGTAATGCTGGCATCTGCGGATTAGAAGGGCGGAAGTAATTAACAAGTATTTAAACATCTGGAGGTAGTTTTCCATCGTTGCGTATTGCAGCCGTAATTACATGTGTTCAGCATTATGACACGACTAATTTTGTTTCCCGAGTTATGTCCCTTGAGGTGCCAGGTTGAACTGTTCACCGATCGTACCTGAGAGCCCTGGTACCGATCATTGACAATCATTCACTGTTAAATGTGGTTTCGTTATTTGAACATGTCTAATTTTTTGTAACGTTGTGATAATTAATGTAATGTGATGTAATATATGCAATACGTTGTTGTATTTTATGTAAAACGTTATATTATTCAATGCAAGGCGTTATTTATTTTACTGAAGATGTTTTCCTGATGATGGCATTTGCTAAATTGTCTTAAAACATAAAAGAGTGAGTGAGCGAGTGATTTTACGTCACATCGGCAATATTTCAGCCATATCGAGATGACGGAATAATATATTAAGAGCTTAGATCCCTATGACATATTGAGAGTCAGTGTACCACGTTAAGACAAGTCCTGAAAATCCGGGTTAGAATTGAACTTCAGTAACCCATGCTTGTCGTAAGAGGCTACTGACGAGATCGGGTGGTCAGGCCTGCTGACTTGGTTGACACATGTCAGCACATCTCAATTGCGAAGATCGATGCTCATGATGTTGATCACTGGATTGTCTGGTCCAGACTCGATTATTTACAGACGACCACCATATAGCTGGAATATTGCTGAGTGAGGCGTAAAACTAACTCACTCACTCATTAAGATGGTCAGTATAACATGTGAGTGCGTATAGGCCAATACGATAATAAGTGTTACACTCTGGGATAGTCAGTGTATTGATATGAGATAGTGTAAGACCTTGTGATATTCCATGTAACACGTTGTTATAGAATCTGTAACACATTATGAGACAGTATAAAACGGTGTTACAACCTAGGAACCCGTTGTAAAACCTTGTGATATTCCATGTAACACGTTGTTATAGAATCTGTAACACATTATGAGACAGTGTAAAACGGTGTTACAACCTAGGAACCCGTTGTAAAACCTTGTGATATTCCATGTAACACGTTGTTATAGAATCTGTAACACATTATGAGACAGTGTTAAAACAACCTAGGTACCCGTTGTAAAACCTTGTGATATTCCATGTAACACGTTGTTATAGAATCTGTAACACATTATGAGACAGTGTAAAACGGTGTTACAACCTAGGTACCCGTTGTAAAACCTTGTGATATTCCATGTAACACGTTGTTATAGAATCTGTAACACATTATGAGACAGTGTAAAACGGTGTTACAACCTAGGAACCCGTTGTAAAACCTTGTGATATTCCATGTAACACGTTGTTATAGAATCTGTAACACATTGTGAGACAGTGTAAAACGGTGTTACAACCTAGGAACCCGTTGTAAAACCTTGTGGTTTCCACAGCTGAACACTTTCCAAATTCTAACACATTCCGTCATTCGTTGCAACACATTATGACAGCTGCACAACGTGATATTCATAGTATCTGTACACAATTCATCAAGTTAACAATGACGTAAGTTTTCATAAAAAAAATTAAAACTGAGAACTCATTATACTTAATGAAATGATGACGCAGATTGTGATGGAAATATCCTTTTGGAAAAGCCATGTTTGTTTAATCTGGCACGTCTTAATAGAATCATCTCGCAAAGACAGACGTAACTATGTACGTTCCGTTTTAATAAAACTTATTCCAAGTTGGCATAAGTACGAGAAAGATGAAAGGCTGGAGGGAGGCTTTGTAGAATTAGAGCCCGCTTTTTACCTCTGTAGGAGGTATCTTAAGAACATGATGGATCACTGCTTAGTCTTCAATGAAAAGGAAAGGACAGTCAGTTTTTTTCAACAAATGACATTTATTTCGACAAATCAGAACCGACATTTCCCACGAGTTGGGCCAGACCTGTTCTTGGTCTTGGATACCCCTCGCAGGAATATACTTACATATCTATCACTCTGACGTCATAGCACGTGAAACAGTAATTGACCACGATCCATCTTCCATGTCAATCATTTTCCAGAAACACCGGAAGTCAATTTAGCCTCGCTCTCATATCCCCACGAACAGACGATACAATTTCTTCCTCGGAAACTTGACCCGGACTAACATGTCTAGATAATTAGACACTAACTGACCCTTTTAAAACTGACCGCTTCGTCTTGTTCAGGAGTTCACGGGGCATAAGGCAGCAGACGTAACACCCTTGACCTTCAGATTATCGTCTGCCAGCACGTGAACGTCTGATCCGCCCCGCGCCAGATTTGGCCGACATTTTGTCTGCTCCTAACTGACCAGACAGAATTAATGTTCGTCGTGGAGGGTATGAATTAACTTAACATATTATTTACAAATTTTCCAGGGTGTCCAGTTTCGGTCCGCTTGTATCCGCGGATGAAAGTCAATGAGTTTTCTTGTATGAAATCAGCGCCAGGTTGCGCCAAGATCCGGTTTATTTACCATAAGCGCTTAGAATTCCCAATGCTACACTGTGTTCCCTCGCTTTAAGTCTGAGAGCCGCAATACTGGAACTCCGACGTTCGGTGTCTAAAGTAGGGTCTAGGGTTACTGGGGCTTGAGCAGGGTTGAAGGGCATCTGGGCTTGCTGTGCTTGACACTGGGACGCCATTGCATTCTGATGAGCCAGTCCCATAAAAGAAGGGAGATTACTCTGCGGCGCCATGCAAGAGTTACCGCCCATCTGGTTCATGGTGGTCATGGGGTACTGGGGAGGTCCATTAGGCGCCCAGGGGTTGGGTTGGAACTGAAAAAATGAAAAAACAGCACCATGAGGACCGTGTTGGCATTTTGAACAATGATATAGCATGTTTCAGTTGTGTGGGTTTAACCGAGACTCGTGCAAGTGGATGATTTTCGTAACGTGTAAATGTGTATTTTGGCATTCAATTTATGCAAGGAATTTTCCCAGGAGAGTATTGATTTCTCAAAGATGCATGAGGGGGAAACCGAGCGTTTCCGAGGGAGCTGTAAATAAGTGTTTCCCCGAGAAGAATAATGGCAAACTATTGCACTTAAAATTCTCACAAGTTCGTAGTTTGTCTACTTCCCGTCGCAAACAGCGTGTTAGTTCCAGATGCAAATCCACGATACGATGCAGAGATGTGCATAAGATGAAGATCCGTTTCATGTCAGGTATTTTACGATTATTAGTTTACATCAAGACCTTTATGTACAGGTTTTTCCCCCTGCCAGAAGTCACCCAGGTACATTCAGGTGATATCCCTGCACGCCGGCTTGTCCCGGAAGGCCTACGGTCTTGCCACCCGTCGGCACACATTATAAGACCCTAACTCCTTTTTGCTCCCAATGTTTGCTCTGATATCAAATGTGCAGATAGTTTTAGTTGCTTTGTATCCATATCTTTCTGACATTTTTCTCACTGAGTCGTATTGTTGATAGAATTCTTGGTTTGTTTTTACACGGAGCCAAGGCATTGTGATCGAGCGTTTTCTAACGGTGGGGCAAAGTGTCCGCCTCACTCCTCCCCCCCTCTTCTGCCCTCACCCCACTGCCCCAGGGTCATGCTGCCATGTGGCTAGCGGATGGGGGCAGGGGTATAAGTTCTCAACAGTTCCTTTTCCCTAGCGTTGTCAAAACAATGGACTGAAAATCAAGCCGTTAGACGAATATCTAGCGATCATCGTGGCACAATCAGACTCTCTTGTGTTTCACACGGCTTTTTGATGTGGAAATCTGTTGAAATCTAGGTTACATGGCGAGGACATTTCGATTTAACATTGTAATCGAGTTTCACAACAGACCTGAGGGCTTATGTCCGTCACGACGGCAACGTGATACAGCCTTAACGTTATGGAATACGGAGGCACGTTGTACAGAAATGTACGTTATAAATGTATAACGGTGTACCACGAATTGAACACCGTCATTGTTATTTTTTACCATAACCGAACTAATAGATTTAAAATATAGCAATTTTCAAAAATCGGCACATTGCATATTTGTAAAAGCGTACCATGTACTGATTATTGTGATTGAATTTTGTTGTTACAATAACGGACCTAATCGATTGATAATATAGCAGTGTATAAAACATAGCCCTTCCCAGCGTCCTTGACAGTCTATTTTTGTGAAGGAGGGTCTATTAGATAAAGAAGGCCCTCCTTTGGTCGGGGGAAATATTTGAAAAACATAAACTTAACTTGGTTTGAACTTCGTCTTAGCAATCATGCTCTTTCTCGTTTTCGTTTCAACATTTGTTGATTTTTCATTGTTTTAGTTTTTGGGACTGGCTGTGTTTGTTCAGGACTGGTCTGGGTACAATGAGTGAAGCCCATTTCTGGTGTCCCCCTCCGTGATATTGCTGGAATATTGCTAAAAGCGGCGTAAAACCAAACTCAGTCAGTCAGTCAGTCAGGACTGGTCACTTTTTTTGACAGCCAGTCCTTGGACAGATCACATTTCAAAACTATTTTCTACACTGAATATAGCAATTTTTAAAAAGCCCGGCACATAATATATTGCTATAAGTATACAACGCATTGACTTCCTTCACTGATTATTGTTGTTACAATATTATCGACTTAATCGATTTAATAATATAGCATGTTTTTTTAATCGGCACGTTGTATATTTTAAAAGCGTACCATGTACTGATTATTGTTAATGCGTTTTGTTTTTACATAATCGCTTTGATAATATAGTAATTGTTAGTAAGGCATGATATTATAACGTTAAACCACGTATTCACTCCCGTCTCTGAGTATTGTTATTACTATCATGGACCTAATCGATATAATAATATATATAACATAACAATTTCATAAACACAAAACAAACACAATTTAGCAAATAAACAATATCAGTCAGTCATGTATCATATTTTAAGGCAATGTAACCCATTGTATTCACCAATATTTGCAAATGCATTCTATTCACATTTATCTCAAAATGTTTATTCTCAGTGTGGTATTATTCACAGTTATAATTAAAACGTATTATGATATATACTGGAATTTTCTTGTTTTGTCCGTTTGAGATGTGTATGGTGTCTGACCTAATCCTTTATTATATTGCTAAGTGCATCTTTAAACTACATACAAACACGCTTTGTCCATTTAGAAACGCACGACGCATTTTGGTTCCTGTATATTTTTAGCCAGCCGTGTTTAATTTTGGGATACTACGCCACCTTAATGTTAATTCGATAATGTTTTTTACAATATATGTAATAACGCAGTTAATTATCGAAACACCTGTTTCTTAAGGGTTTAAGTGAAATGCATTATTGTTGACCTTAAACTTCGTTTTTCGTTTTGGAATTAACAAACGAACTGAAAATGTGGCTCCGTGTTTATAATGACTATAATCATCAAAGACTTTGAAGGGTTTAATTAAAGCTATAATGTTGATATTTACATGAGTAGCTCATAAGCACCGACCAACCTATGAGCCTAGGAAATCCACACAATTAGGAGTGAGCATTGTAAGCAGTAATGTATTATATTTCAATATCAAAATATACTCATATTAATATTTTGGAATGTACAATCGTATCTGTACACGTGAATACTGTCAAGGTATATTTCAAACATTTATATAAATGTAAATAGATCTGCATAATGATCTTCCGTGGCTTCATTCAGGAGATGCGTCGTCCTTTCGCGGGATATTTGTTTAGCCGTCTTTTTCGAAAACCACTGATCGTAAAACATTACATTCAGTAAATACTAAAAGATCAGCCGTGGAATCTGTCCGAAATGCCAATACATTTATCATAATGATGGCCCGCAGGGAATGCACACAGATTTCGCGCAGGCGCTGTCGATTGGTTGTATATTTCATTGCAAGTGCTTCAAATTAGTGGCCATACACAAACACCCGGTATCTGGATTGCATTGGGAGGTGGAGCGGTAATCGCCAGGGGATGATTGACATATTGTGCTTATTTCTGCCAATTAAATTGTCATATTTCATTTAATATGAAATTGATTATTATTCTTCGCTACGGGGAGTATAAACAGTATACATTTGATGTTGTTTGCTTTCATTTGAACATAAGTGGCGTGAAATTGACTATACAAGTGCTTCAAGTCCTATCGGGAGACAGGTGCGCGGTGTGTGTATTTCGTGAACAGAATTGGCGGTTTGTGTCTTGATACGGGTTAAGTCACGATCCACGTGCGATAGTGTATATTATGACTGCAATGTGAAAAATGCTTCAACATTAAGCGATGGCAGACTTTCCACATTTCCACAACCATGTTCCGTACACATGAGGTTATTGCCAACACGACGTTGTGTAGGTAATTGAACACTTATATTCTATATCGCGCAGTTCGATACTATTCAACGTCTCCTTAGTGTATGCAGTTTTCAGATTCTTGAGAAGTTTGCATGAATTTTGTATGCTCCATGACATGAAATGTCACTTTTTGATACTGGTTCATAAACATACACTTATGATGGGTTTACTATCGTACAAAACGGACTCTACTTTAGCAGAGGAACATGAAGTAAACGTTGTTGTCGCATATAATTAATTAAATAAAAGCAATGATATTGCTGGCGGCGATGACACGTTTTCGATCTGGATTCTTAACTGTCAGCTAAAAGAATATATAAGTTCATGAAAAAAAATGTCGATGGTGATATTTTATATAGTTAACATGTTTGTATACTTGAACCTTTGGTTTGCAGTGTTTTGGCGACAAATTTCAACTTCATAACGTATTGATAACAGTAACTTTTGAGTAAGATCCAGTTTAAGTCGTTACACTATTTTGCCCAGCGGTTTAATCTATTCCTACCTGTTTCAAACGGATATCTAATTATGTGGAATCTAATTTTGTCTTAATAGCTTTGTGTCTCCATATAATTTTACAATAACACTATTACATATCGGTGCTTTCTTTGTTCGGAACTTAAATATGCATATCCAGTTCAGAACCCAGGGAGTTATTGTCATCAATTTCTTTTTGTGTAAAATACTGTTGTTTGCACATTTTTGTTTTCGATTTTTGTGATTGAATGACATATATTTACAACATACTAATAACTTTTTGGCTAGTAGAAAATACGTGTTTTTTCTTATTCCGGTCTTTCAAGAAGGATCGAAACTGTAGTATATGTAAGTAGGAATCTCTGCTTTGAAGCAGGTAGTCGCAACATCTTCAAAATATCACCACTGCAACTTTACATATAAGTCACTGATTCTATCGAGTCAATGCCGTTGTGATTGTTAAACGTCATTGTTGCCGTACGAGTCAATGAATTGAAAGAATGTTGTTTTACGGCGCATTAACAGTGACTGAAATCGGTTTCGACTACACACCTGAGGAATCAAACGTGAGTATCTGAGGTAAAGCATTAAAAACCGGATTTCCTGTATATTATATGTTCTGTTCATTCCTTAGGATCTTTACACCGCCCAGTCGGTACCCTGCTACCGTAACACCCGCAAACCCTTTCATGTGGCGTGGACCATACCATTGTTCCGAATATATACAGTTTTGAAAAGACCTTAGTTTGTCAGAGGGCAAATCCGTCACAAAACGCAAACGGAAGTCACGCCAGATTTGTCAACGACACGTCACGCTTCCGGTTTTACTCCAGCAAAGACTTTTCTTCAACAAAAGATGGCCACCTCTTTCTTTTTCAACCAATCAGTATTTCAGATCTGGACATGTGACTAACGGAGGTAATGACAGTATCCAATGAGAGTTAAGTTTCCTACCATGTGACCTACCTGAGTGTAGGTGTCGTGCCTGGGTGTGAGGGGCATGTCGTAACCATGTGTAGCTGCCGTCGCCATCGCCCGCATAGTTTGCAACTGACCGAACCTCTCTCGCTTCCGCCATTTGGCTCGCCTGTTTTGGAACCACACCTACAAAACGAAATTATTAAGAAATGATTTAGAAAATAAAAGCAACAAAAACATCCAAAAATCCTAAAAACTGTGCATTTAAATCATCTTGTCATATGAACGCAAAATTATAATTTTGATTTTCTGAAAGATAAACACGCAACACCCATGTCGACAAAAAAAAAAACGGTTTTACGGGCTATTAGACATAAATCACAGATATCGTTTCCGTAAATCGTAAATATATAGCGCCAACGCCACCGAATACACAGTCTCGAGTATCCGACGGAATATATTCCAGCGGGCGTAAAATGCAAAGTAGCTTTGAAATTTAATACTAAACGCAAAGTCTCATGCAAAATTCCAACTATATCACAAGCACATGTCCATGAATCACAGTCAAACAGTGATGATCCCTGGTGTAACATAATGTGTACACGTTTAGTTTGAGTTGGTAAGGGATTTGTTTTGTCGTTAATGATATACACGGAAACAACCGATTCACTTTCGATACAATAAAAACTTCAATATAAAGTAAACATCTTGGTTTCCAGAGTGAAACGACTTGTCATTATTGTGATGGCGAAATGACAAAAACATTTCCATGATCGAAAAACAAATCGATTTTATTTAGATACCTATTTAAAGATTTTCTTGGCCGAAAATCAAATCGGTATTATATAAATATAATTTTTCATAGTATTTAATAGTAAATGCTGACAAAAGTATGAAAATAATATGCTTTGGATAACATACACATTCATCATTATTTATCTCTCCTTTTAAAACATTTCCTGTTTCCGTAAACGCTAATGAAAACATCAGTAAGTAAATGTTAATTTATAATGGTACGAGCAAATCTATTGTAAAATTCCGATTATATATCATAAACATGTGTCCATGAACCACCCACTTGATTACATATATATCATTTTTATGATTATCTATTACTCGAAAATGTATTAATGAAAAACATAAATTCATATCTAATAAATTTGAGTCATTGTCTCTTCAAACAACTTTTCACTTAACAAATCATGTGCAACTGTAGGTGTATGCTTTAGCATATTGTCATAAACGTACATAGATGTAGTTAGATATTTAGTTTACTCAGATAAATATAATTCATCTATTTTCTTTCAGATTTTTACGATAAATCATAAATATGCATAACGTCCTAGATATTACAGTTTATTTTTATAAAGATACTCAACTGAAGTTTTAAGAACTTATTAGAATAAGTCATTGTGATACTAGTATTTGAAACACCCGTTACAGGACAAACTTCGTCAATATATAACATGCATATTTAAGTACCCGGCGCAAAATCTTGTTGTAAAGACTAGTGCTGTTTTCCTTATATACTTGGAGAGATATATATCTGTCTAGACAGTTCCCAATTCCTAGCATACCAGACATGTTAGATCCATAAGAGCAGTCAACAGGCTATAGCCTATTACAGTGCTTATCAACACTTGTGGTCAATTGACCTGAGGTCAGTAACCCATTTGATTTGTCCACCCTGCGAACATAGGGTTCCAACTCAGACGGAGCTTTCTTCAATTGTGATTTAAGAAATTAAGTTAAATCACATGCAACAGTTCGTGAAACTTGCAAATTTTAGATAACGTAACTTCATAGAAGAGTTGAAGAGAGGATATGTGAAGTATATTTCTTGTATTCCCTTGAACGACTTTGTTAAAAGCGGACGTAAAACCATACTCACTCGCTCACTCTAGAGTGGGAAGTTTAACTAACAGTGGACAGGTTTTACTGCTGTGCTACGGAATAACTAATATATTATTCAGTGAAATATAAATACGAAAGTATTCAGACAAATTTAACGGTCAGTCGGGTACCCAGTTTTCCCAAACTGACCATGTCTGTGAGACGTTGTTAACGTACTGAAGCATACACAGGATAGATAGAGCCAACATAAGCAGGTGGTGTTTCCCTCTAGCTGTAGTATGTACAAGTAATGACCATGAAACACTTTATCACTTTATCACTTAACTTCATCATTGTTCAAATGTACCTTTAACAGCCGACCCAGATCAGGATCTTACCGTATTCCTGCATTAAATTATCATAAATATTGTATATACAGAGTTTAAAAGAATGGACATCTAATTAAAGTTTGATTTATTACACCTGTTTATAAGATTATGGCAGTATGAGTTTAGAAGCCAATGGAAATACGTTATACGAGGAGGTTTCATGGATGGTTATAAAGACATGATATTTTGTCCACAAAACTTCAGTCGTGATTGTAACGACGTTTCGGGACCACATCCTGTCCCTTAACAAGGTGCGTGTATGTCTATGTCCATTCATTCACCTGACAATAAGTTGCCCGAAACGTCCTTGCAGCAACCTAGAGGTTCTGGTGTTTATAGATGTCATATCTTCATGTTCTCCAACTTCTTAATGCCTATCGATTAGAATTATTTATTTTGCGACTGATTTGTATGCGTCCAAATATTTATAAATTAGGGAATACGTTGCATTGTATGGTATTTATCCATGTAGTAATTGCGAAGAAAGTACACACATTTAACACAACTTGTTAAAAATGTACTAGCTTATTGAATGCGCAAGGTGTTAATGAATATCGACTTCCCTGTGAGGTTAACGCGTGTGTTGCCTACTGTTGCTATATGTGTCACATATGAATAGTAGCAACGGTTACTTAACTTACTAAAGTTTATGATGAAACCATATGCTGTATATCGTCACCTGATTTTTGTGATTAGACATTAGTCCAAACTATTATCAACAGTACCAGTTCTTATGATTGTGTGTTGATTATGGTTTTATCATTATCATGGCAGGGTACACCAGAACTGCACATGTCATACCTAGTCTCTGACCACTAAGCCACCCAATTCTTTTTGAAGTAGTGTCCCAAACAATCAAATGTACATTAATTATTAATGCATCCATGTATTAGTTACGATAATGTGAAGCCCATTTCTGGTGACCCCGCCGTGATGTTGCTGGAATATTGCTAAAAGCGGGGTAAAGCCAAACTCAATCAGTCAGTCAGTCAGTTAGTCATTTACTATAAATTTGACCATTTTATTGAAGGCCAATCGTTTCATTAAATTCTGCTTACATGGATTTTATTCTACTCTTGACATAGTACAACTAAACGTAAAAAGAAAGTCTTTTCCAGGATATGAAACATTTTAAACTAGTAAACCCATTCAGGCCTGCAACGTCTTCAGTTTCCCGTTATGTACAAGCCACACACAAGACATTAACAAAGGGGGCTTGTACGTACATACAGCAGTATCAAGGGCCATCCAGTAACATCTCTTTTCCATGTCGTGCTATTAACAAGCTATCTACATGCTATAGACATCAGTAACCTATATCATTGTCTACTCTTACCCGGGTTATCTGTGGTGTAGTACACGCGATAAAAGGCTATATACACGTGAAACTGATTTCCCTCCTCAGGTATCAAATTAACACGATAATTGACAGCTAACCAGCCGTTTGTTTTCTTTTAAAATAAATGCGCTTATGCTATTTATTTGCTTTGCACGTGTCCCGTCTAATTCCGTAACGCAGAGAGGTGCTAACGGGCCGACTTTGCGTTGTCTTCCGTTTAAAAGGTCACCATTACATGTGCGGACTGTGTAGTGTATATGGAAGGGTGTAAAGCACGTGGCCAGCGTTTATAACATTTAATTCCTGCGGTGGATAGATAGTCGGTCTATGCTGTAGGGGTGGGACGTGGATACGGGGGAAGGGGAATGCCTGGAGAACCAATCTCGAGTATAAGATGCTCTTAACCAACCATTTATCAATATCTTGCTGATTATTACGACAGAATACATGCATTATTTATATGTTACGGGTTATAGAGAGCGTACTTTGTATATATTCTTCTTAAAACAACCTAATTCGTTATTTTAATTAAACCACCTTTCTGTATGACTAGATTGTTGATGTATATGTATATGTGTACATATTATATTAGACTAACGCTTATTCTCTGAATATATATATACTCATGCCAATAATGGTTGTCACCCCTTCAAATTCTTTTATTGGAGGGGTGTGGTGTGTGGGGGTTGGGGTGGGAGGGGGTGACAACCATTATTGGCATGAGTATATATTGGGTGGCTCACTTTTTATTCTTTTATACTCTGTACATATGTATTTTATGTAAAAATTGAGGTTAGACTGTCTGTCTGTATAATTTTGATAGTAACACATAACCCCATTAAACTGAAAAGGAGCCCCAGTGAGAAATCATGAACCTGGGGAAATCTAGACTTGCTTCATTTATAACTTTAGCATTGCACGGAGGACTTGACAGTGGGAAAATAGACTCAGGGACTGTGAGACAGATTAATATTATACCTAACGCCATTAAATAGTCGATCTCGAATATCTACTGGCGTAGATTCGATTGGGCGTAAAAGACAAAATAGTGATTAACATCTTACAAATGGATTACTGAAAATCACCGGGTGTCGCGAAAAGCACCCTTCGGTCACACAATTATATATAATATATTTCACTTCTCGGTTTACTTTGAGGTGTAAAAAACACATTACACCTGAAAAATAACGCAGTCAGTGATTTATATTCATCCCCAATTGTAATCATTGGTTAAAAGCGAAAAATTTAATTTACGACAAATTTATAGTGTTATACCTCGGAAACATCCCAATAAAAAACCCTAAATATATTGCTTGAATCTACTAAAAGTACGTTATCTTCTCTTTAATAATTACATGTAATTTTCATCGATGAACATATGGCATAATTGATGTTTTCATGAGTTTATGATTTTTCTATATAAACTATAATTATATATTTTCATACATCTTTTATATATATACAATATATATAATATTTATATATACGTTTTTCACGTAGTCTGCATTGCTAAATATTTGTACATGTATTTACAAATATTTATTAATTCAGACTAGATGAAAAATAGCTATTTGGCTATATGTCCTTCTTGTTACTCAGAAATTTAGGACAATCATTATTCTGTA